GGGGTGTATTTTAGCATATTGTGTACTTTTAGTTTTATAATAGTTTTTCCACAACATATTCCACGATTCATTTAGAATTTTTCTCTTTAAAAAAGGTACCACATCTGTATACGGAATTTTATTACTGTATAGTATATGACGCTTAGGCTTATTCCGATGACTAGCCAGCCATCAGCTAACATCAATTTTGAATGGATATTACTAAAGTGCTTTTTGTCCAATAAAAGGTTACAGTTACGGATCTACAATGCAATTCCCGTTTAATAGTTTAATAATATCCTGACAACATAGTTCATTTTTGGTAATTTTTGTGGTAATTCTCTAATGACTGCAGGACAACTCTGGGAATCTTGTCATCAACCGCAAATTTTTTTCGAGCCAATTCTTTGACAAATTTCAATGCTTCAAAATAGCAAATTGGCTTTCCGCTTGTAATATAACTGGCTGTATATTTTAAAAATGAATTTGACAAAGCAAGTTGTAAAAATGCTCCCATCACATACTCGAATGCCACTTCTGATTTTCCCAAGCAAACTAATTCAGTCTTACTAGTATATTTCCCCTGAAAATGAAATCTTTAAAGTATTAAACCATTAACGGTTCAATTTTCCTTACCTCTTGCAATATGGAGTTAGGTTAATACCGGTAATAACTACATCAAATAAATTCCTACCTATTTTCTAAGGAGTCGGTAACCAACTGAAGAGCTATAACTTTAACCGTAGACATTTATAATAAAGTATCACTAAAATTAAATCCTAACCTGTTCATACATAATTTTTCCTATATTATTTGTTGTTGTAGTATGTTTTGAAACATACAACTATAATAGTAAGTACCAACCTCGGTTACCAAACCTATTACAATCATTCTGCCTTGTCTACACAACTAATACCAACCGTAAATGGGAAGGCGCCACATAAGGTATAATTCGAAGTCTATTTTATGCCATTATGTAGAATTTTTGGTTAATATTCAATAGAAAAAGTGTAAATATTTCATGTCCATGAACTTGGTAGTCCTACTAGAGCAGACCATGGTTCTGCTTACTCATATCGTTAGTGTTCCGTTAGTGCACGTTAGTGTCGCTGAAGAAATCGTTAGTGCACAAAAGGAAACTTGCTATTTTAAAAAAATATTTGTGGGCCTGCTAACTTCATGCCAGCAGACCCGTTTGAGAAAATCGATTCAATCTTTACACTAGTTAAACTAGCAGCGTTAGTGCTCGTTAGTGCCGCCAATATAAACGTTAGTGCTCAAAGTGTAACAGCTCAAAATGTTGTAAAAAGGGGTCTGCTAACTTCATGCAGCAGGCCCACATTTGTCAAATTGGCTCTGTCCTAATGCGAATTTTAAGCAGCTCGTTAGTGCTCTTTAGTGCTTCACATGCGAACGTTAGTGCTGTAAGGGATCCGCGTCAAAAAGGTACCAGACCACCTCAAAATTAAACTTGACTTATTGGGACCTGCCAACTTTACGCCACTAGACCAACGAACGAAATCCGTTTGATTTTTCTACTTTAATCGATCTATCAGTATTAGTGATCGTTAGTGTTGCAAAAAAAAAACGTTAGTGCTCAAAGCGCAAGAGCTATAGCGTGAAATTATGGATTTGCTAAATTCATGCAGCAAGCCCACATTTATTAAAGTGGTCCTGTCTTAATGCGAATCTGAAGCTCCTCGTTAGTGCTCGTGTCGAAAAACTACCAAAGCATCTTAAAAATTAACTATAACTTATAGGTTATTTCGTTCATTCTCTTCGACTTTTTTTTTGGATTGGAAACAAATTTTGCTAGTTGTTGTGTTGGCAGCAGAACCTATAAGTTATAGTTAATTTTTAAGATGCTTTGGTAGTTTTTCGACACGGATCCAGTCCTAACGAGCACTAACGAGGAGCTTCAGATTCGCATTAAGACAGGACCACTTTAATAAATGTGGGCTTGCTGCATGAATTTAGCAAATCCATAATATCACGCTTGAGCTCTTGCGCTTTGAGCACTAACGTTTTTTTTGCGACACTAACGATCACTAATACTGGTAGATCGATTAAAGTAGAAAATCAAACGGATTTCGTTTGTTGGTCTACCGGCGTGAAGTTGGCAGGTCCCAATACGCCACGTTTAATTTTGAGGTGGTTTGGTACTTTTTGATGCGAATCCCTTGCAGCACTAACGTTCGAATGTGAAGCACTAACGAGCCGCTTCAAATTCGCATTAGGACAGCGCTAATTTGACAAATGTGCGTCTGCTGCATGAAATTAGCAGACCGCTTTTTACAACGTTTTGAGCTGGTACACTTTGAGCACTAACGTTTATATTGGCGGCACTAACGAGTACTAATACTTACCGGTCGATTAAAGTAGAAAATCAAACGGATTTCGTTCGTTGGTCTACTGGCGTAAAGTTGGCAGGCCCCAATAAGTCAAGGTTAATTTTGAGGTGGTTTGGTACCTTTTTGACGCAGATCCCTTGCAGCACTAACGTTCGCATGTGAAGCACTAACGAGCACTAACGAGCCGCTTCAAATTCGCGTTAGGACAGGGCCAATTTGACAAATGTGGGTCTGCTGCATGAAGTTAGCAGACCCCTTTTTACAACATTTTGAGCTGTTACACTTTGAGCACTAACGTTTATATTGGCGGCACTAACGAGCACTAACGCTGCTAGTTTAACTAGTGTAAAGATTGAATCGATTTTCTCAAATGGGTCTGCTGGCATGAAGTTAGCAGGCCCACAAATTTTTTTTAAAAATAGTAAGTTTCCTTTTGTGCACTAACGATTTCTTCAGCGGCACTAACGTGCACTAACGGAACACTAACGATATGAGTAAGCAGAACCATGGTCTGCTGTAGTAGGCCTGCCAGTTCATGGAATTCCTAGCGCTCTGGAATTTTTGGTAATAGGTAACCTATATATCTTGAAAGTATACTAGACGACCTTTGAATTTTTTTTGTCTTAGGGATGAGGGGGAGGGGGTGGGAGGGAGTGGGGGGAGGTGGTACTCTAGTCAAAAATAATACTATTATCTTTGCTCTAATGAAAGGTCTCAGCGCCAATTTCTACCCAACCACAGTCCCTGGTGCTTCTCAACCCCTTATCGTGATTGGTTATAAAGGAGCGGAGTTGTACTCATAAAGGGCTTGGTTATTCTTGCATTATTTAACGTAGATTTTGAATGTGCGCCATTTATTTCAATTTATTTCTCCGATTATGATTTCCGTTTCTTGTCATTTTCTTTTTCTTGTGTTTTATTTACTGCGTACATTTCCGTCTTATTTCCACTCCATATTTTTATTCTTTTCCCGTTTCCTGTTCACGCTTCTTGTGCTCGCCTCAAAATCGATTTCTTAGTTCTCTTTCTGGTGTAGATTTCCCTTTCTTTCTGTTTCTACACTCCCTTCCGCTACCCCTCTCCACTTCTCTTTTACTTCTCGTTTGCCCATTCCTGTATTATAATTCTGTTTAGCTCTCTCCTATGTGCTTCCGTTTCTTTTCCAGTGTTTGTTCTCATTCTCTTTTTTGTTTCCCGTTCCTGTGTCCTTGTTTCCGTTGTAGAATGCTCGTTTCAAGGTTTCATTCCTGCTATTTCCGGATTTTGTTCTTGTTCTCGCCCCGGGGCCTATTTCTAGCCGCCGTTTCTAGCTTCCGTTCCATATTATCGGATTGGGTTTCTGGTTTCTCTTTCCCATTTCTGTTTCCCACTTACGTGTCTCGATTGTTTTATGTTTTCTGTTGTCGGTATCCCGTTACCAACCTGTGTGTCCAGTTATGTTTCACTGTCCTGTTTCCGTTTTCTTTCCACGATTCCATCTCCTATTTCGGTTCCATATTGTCGTACTCGTTCCAGATTACGTTCTTAGTGACTGTTCCTCGTCTTCGGTTTTTTTTCCGTTTTTTGATCCTCGTTTCTTCTTTCCAGTTTCCGTTTATGCTTTTCGTATATTTTGCATTTTGTGCATTCTCTTTTTTAGTTTCCTTTTTCCAGATGCCAGTTTCTATTGCCGTCTCAGTTTCACCACTTCTTTAGTCCGCTTACTCCGTTTCCTGGTGGTCTTTCTTGTTCCTTTGTTCACATTTTTAGTCTGTTGTCACTTATGTTTTCTGATTCTGGTTCAGGGTGTGTTCCAAACACCTTCATTCGCAACTAACTCAAATTCATTAATAAAAAATGATCCAAGTCCTCGTGTAAGATCGAAAGGACTTCAGCGCATTTTTGTATGGCAGATCAGTATCCTGTTAGCCACTTTTGACAATTCGCATTTTCGTGGATTAGTAGTCAATTTTTGGGGCACTTTTCATATCTCGAGCTTCTATTGGCGACACGACCAAGAGAGACCGAGATTAGAGCTCTAAGAAACGTTTGGGCGCTCAAGGTCGAATACCCTTCGACGACGCGCGCCTAATATTAGGTGGTTAATTTCGCCCCGAGAAAAAAACAAAATTCTGTCACGCAGGAGTTGTTCGCGTTTTCCGACGACACCAATTTGAAAACAATAGGCCTAGAATGGTAAAGGAAAATAGAAAAAAATGGAAAATCACTACGTTAGTATAACACGCTTGGGGATGGCGCCCAGATGTCACCGACCCCGCTCTTAAAGTTGTTTTTTACACGGCGCCGGTAAGTACATGTACTTTCCTCTTCGTGCGTGATGCGACAGTGTGTTAAATTAGTTAAGAATTTACTACCCTTACATCTTTAAACTTCCAGAATGTAATGATATGGGCGTATGGCTCTTGGCGATTTTGGGATAGTGAAAGTGTCACGCCTTGCCCCGATCATGCGGTATTTCCAGTGCAAATGTTAGTCTCAACCTTGACAAAGTGTCAAATGACCTCGGCTAAAGCATGGCGGCAAACACATTTTTTTACAAACGCGTATTAGTACTAAATTTACACTCGTATGCCAATTGTTATGTATAGCTTTTTGCATAATGTGGTTTAATGCACTATTGTTCGTCAACGTATTTGAAGAGATATATCATAGAATAATTTGTTCCTTTCTTTTGTTACAGCCACGGCGAAGATCTTATAGTAACACCATTCGCACAAATTCTTGCAAGCTTGCGCAGCGTAAGGAACAACTTTCTGTGTCTCACCAATGTGCCCACCAATAAGTAAGTACATTCAGTTTTACTTCCCGTACAAGATACACAGACTCCTTTAACTAAAATGTTGAGGTTCTTTATTGAAGAGGGGCTCAATTTAACCTCACTTTCGTCTTACATTTCAAGGACGTATAGGAGTTTGTGATTTAAAAGATTACATTACGCAATCATCATTTTCCGTGTTATGAAATCTATTTTTTTTATTATATCACATTCAAAATTGTTTCAAAAAAATAAAAATGTTATAGGATATATGAAACACTATTCATACTCAAAATCTCCCATATACTCTAAAACACGCTGTATATTAATCTCAAATGAAAGCCACCCACACCTGTGGAAAAATCACCATATCTACTAAACATCGACAACTACAGTATGCCCTAACGTGTATTAACACCCTGTACTAATCTTCAATCTTGCTCTAATAAATAATTAATCTATTCAATGAATTCAAAACAGGAAACTAAATTAAAATTCCTATTGTGGTGGTACATATGGTAGCTGATACGCATCACGCTACAATCACCACGGTGTTTTCCCCCACGCAGTTGCGAAACATTTTCTCCGCCGTCGAACAGGGCTTTTAAGACAGCGCACAAGAATTAGATTTCATTCTGCTGCGAGCTGTCCCATATTAAGTAGTAGGATCAAGTCGAGCTGTCCTATGGTGAGGCAACCGATAAAGCCGAACTCTCCATAGTAAGGCAAATTTCGACGACTTTACGAATTCACAACGATTCAGTATTCATACAAGAAGTTCCATCAACGATCAAAAGCCACGCCGTGGAGGATTCCGTAATTATCATCGCCTCGGAAATCTGCTCTTGACCGTTCCTGAAGATTTCCGCGAGCGCGCGTAATATAACGTTTATTCTGTATAAATAATTACCCGTTTTTAATTAGTTCGTTCTGTGTAGTGTTTTAGTTCAATGGTTCTGTGTTTGCATTCATTTAGTTTTCTTTGTTTGTGAGCTGTTGTAGGTCGTTTCATAATTACAAATACACGATACCGAGCAACCATACTATAAACGTAATTGAAGCCACATTCTCAATAAAACTTCTACGTACATGAGAGAACTACGGATGTGACATCCCCAACAAATAAACAACGCTACCTAATACGGCTCATCTGTTAACTTTACGAACATGCGCAATGTTTTATAAGGCCTTGCAAATTCAAATTTATAAAGCAAACACACTATAAAATTCAACAAGCAAGTAATGGAAAACAATTACCATATGGCCTATGTTAATTACAGTAGTTACAAAGTAAAATAACGGATACATTATTTGCGAATCAAACACATACCACCAAAAGCTATCTACTTCCCTTTTCTCACTTGGGGAAAGGCAAAACATGCGCACACACTCGCGAACCTTCGTCCTTGGGCAATTTAAATTGCTGCGCTTCCCGCTAAAACATTTCCAGTGGCGTAGCATTTCTCTCCTTTCATGAAATGCATGAAAGCGGGGACGATCCAATTTAAAAACTGTCAGATCTCTTACAACACAATTTCTAATCTCTTTGTGTCTTATCAGAAAATATGCTGTCGAGTGTCCTTAACACGGCATACTTTTAATGCTCATCTGAACCATTTTAAAGAAAACATGGGTTTTGAAGAAAAGGTACCAACGGTATCATGTGTAAAAGTTGTAGATAATACACAATTCATTTAACACCCAATGGCACATCTCCATGCTTTCTGATCGAATATTTATAACTTTCCAAGTGTGGTAGTCGGGCTGGAAAGGGCGTGACCGTGTCATTCCTTTTGGTTCTTCCTTGAATAGCATTCTGACTATACAGGGTGTTCTTAACAAACAAACCAGAAAATCAAATTCATATTTTACAGTCTACCAGAGGCGCACCGAAAAAAAGCTCTGTGGTAGAAAATAAAATGCAACATGAATCATGGAAATGTAACACCGATCTTCTGTTGGCAGTATGTATTTACTTAATTGCGGTGGCCGTAAATACACGATTATTTTGGATTTAGATGTTGTTTGGTCGTTGTGCTCTGGTTGCGAGTCTCGGGGGGGGTACACCACTTTAAAATTTGTGTACACTAAAATTTAAAAAAATTCTGCAAACTAAACAATTCTAGAATATTCTCAAAATTGTAGAAAATAATAATTGTGTATGCATCTGCTCGGAACGTGCATGTACACGTTCGGAAAGAAATTGTAAATAAATTCTAGATAATTCAACACAAGTTCTAAAAAACTTTAGAACATTTACAAAAAATTCTAAACAATTATAGAAAAATATTTTAGAAAATTTTAGTAGCGTAGTTTACACCAAAATAATAAACCACTTTAAATTTTGTGTACACTAAAATTCTAGAGTTATAAAGATTTTGAAAATTTTAAACAATTTAAAAATATTCTAAAAATTTAAAAGATAATTGTGTGTACATCTGCCTTTGGAAAGAAGACTTAAAAAAATTCTAGAAGGTGTCTAAAAAAATTCTAAAATATCTAATAGATTCCGAGATAGATTCTAAAAAACTCTAGTCATTATCTCCTCGGCGTAAACCACTTCAAATTTTTTGTACACTAAAATTATGAAGTTTCATAAAACATTTCAAAATTTTTAAAAATTTAAAACATTCTAAACAAAAAATTGTAAAAGTTGTATAAAATAATAAAAATAATTGTCTGCATGTGCATTCTAAAATAATTCTAAACAAATTTTAGAAAAGTTGTAAAAAATTCTAGACAATTCTAAAAAATTCCAGAAACATTCTAAAAAAATCAAAATGCTGTATACCAAAATTCTACAGTGATTTTCCCGTCGCTGAAATCATGGCATTTATCTTCTACCGTCACAACTTTAGCTCCTGTGCAGCTTGTTCCGTGATGAATGTCGCCTGCGACCCAGGATATTTCTGTTTCTATTCCATTTTCCCAGATGTAGTAGATACATATTCTTCTGACTTTGACTCTGATTTCCGGCTAAACGGCTGAACCGATTGGAACCAAATTTAGCGCACATATTTATGGGTATAAAAGGGCAGAACCGCGCATGCGCAGGTGTGCGGGTGGTATCTGCGCTAGCTAAATTACGTGAATTTGGTTGATTTACAATTGGATTTACTTGTGTTCATATGTTAAGGAATTCCTTTACTTGCATTAGTTAATGAAAATACTATGTAAATGTACTGTTCGAAATGTTACATAAAGTTTTACAATCGTAAATAATTGCCACGTTCTATATCCCAGCAAAGATCATACTACACATCCCAGTGTTTCAACACTGCTATAATTAAACGCCTTAATACCATTATCTCTGCGGCTCTGTGTGTTATATTCGTAAGCTTTAGACCTCCAGCTTATGGTGAAGATATACTATGCAAATATTCACCATTAAACTTGGGATTTAATTGAATTAATTACTAAAACTTTGACTGTTGCAGTAAATATATCAATAATTTTGCTTCTACTAAATGCTTTACTGTCTGGTTCAACGCCCTAAGACGTGTAAATAAAAGGGGGCTTTTTTTTTAATTAATCGCTAACTTTTAATATCCGCCACTAAGACCGAAAGCTCATTTCGTTGAGTATGTTCATCAAACGCACGAGCTTTCTCTCTTATTAATAATAAACCGTTAATGTCCTTCTGTGCTATAAAATACAATGAGGATACCACAAAGGGAATAAAAACCATTTATTGGTTTGTAAAGTGTTCGCTTTAGGCGGAAATTGTAGACCAAAACTTCGATACTGACTATTGTTGGAACTGTGGTATCTTAGATTTGCCGAAAAGGATGATGCTTATTGTGTAGGGAAATTCAATACTCCCTACAATATTGGCGTATCTATTGAGGATTACTTTAGGTTCGACGCAGTAACTGAAGTGGAAGGAAGGAATAGATTTGGAGAGCGAGTAAATGGTAATGATAGATTAATTTAATACGAAATTGTTTCGAGATGCTTTGCCTATTTCGTTATTGATTTCAGTAAGACTGAAACAATGAAAACTAGCTCTTCCCCAGTGCTCCATGTCTATTCAGTTAGATAATGGGTCTAGCAACTAATTGTAATTGTACGAGGACGTTGTTTCTTTAAATTTTCTGAGTACAAAAATGTATTTCTTCACGTAACTACCATCTACAGTGTGACGCACCCAGGCCGGCCCCGAGAGACTGTGCAACTCAAGATTTAAATTCAAAACTTTCCAAAACGATGGGAAAAAAGAACTGACCAAGAAAAAACCACCCAACAAATTAATATTACACTTTATCGCAAAATTAGTTGTCTGTAATGACATGAATGCAATATTATACCAAGTTTGGATATTTGATAGCCAGTCCAAATCCCACACCGAGTAGTCTTCAGTTGCTCTGGTCAGCATTGTATGAAAACGCTAGGAGATGACCTCTCAGAAGAGGATTTCACTCGGAAAGGATACCCCAATGGATACAAAAAACAAAGGGCGAGAACACGCCGCACGCTTTTAGCAGATACCTGCGCAAGTGACGCCGGGACTAGCCAGCGCCCTCATGGATGACTAAGCGGGACCCCAACTCTTTCATTCACACATCTCTAGGGTCAGTCCAACCCACTAGTTATAAAGTGCCGGGTTTTCAAGACCGAACGCCAGGCTCTTGATTTGCAATATGGGCAAGATGGCTCTTTTCTAAGACACAAAAAAACAGTACATATAAGCATACATATATCTCTGCGTATGTCAGTTGTGAACTTTTGCCACCCTCTGCTACGTCAAATCGAGATCAAATATCGGTATCAAATGTAGCACAATACATATTAGAAACAAGTTATCCTACCAAATATTAATAATCATAATTACCCGGTTCAAATACATAGGAGGAGAATATCGTTAAGTATCACATTACATCACAAACAAAGGAACATGTCGTGGCAAAACATTAGTATAAAGTAATTAATTTTCAATGCCAAGCGCAATATGGAACAATCAACCACCTAACGTAGGTCACCCGCTCTCAAATGAAGCACCCTGTAAATAAACAGTAACCTATTCATGC